GCAAAGGCTGCCGCGGCCTCTCCCCTCAAGGAAACCCTTGTCTTCCCGGGCAGCCCCTTGCGGAGCCCCCGCAGCAGTCCGGCCCGGAAGGGGCTGAGCCGTGAGCGGAGCAGGAGCGGCTTTTGTGAGGATGCGGAGAAGGGGCGGCCTTCGGGGCTGCATTCCGGGGTTGGGGTCTCTGGTGCCCCTGCGAAGTCTGGGGGCTTTCGCTCTTCTGAGCGTGAACTTTAAGAGCAAATGTTCGTGGAGCGTTTGGGGGGCCCGTTTCAGCCCCACCGGCCTCGTCCTGCGCCGCCCAAGCCTTGTCTGAGACCCTCCTTCAGAGTTTTCAGCCCCCCCCCCATCATTTCTGATCAAGCTGCATGCGTTGTGCTTCCACGCGTTTTTACGGTCCTTCTGACATGCAGTCTGTCGTTCACTCAGATGACTCAAACGGTGGTCCTGGAAGCCAAATTTCTCCTCCTGCCACCATTTGCAGGCCAATTGCTGACTTGTCATATTTTACTTTCCCTTTCTGGTCATTCTCCGTGGACAGCAGGTGGGTGATTCTGCCTTCTGAGCCCCCAGAGTCTTGAATCTCAGCGATTTTTGGAGTCTCTCGTGATTTAGTGTGTAGCTGTTCTCAGTAGTATCGGTTGGCCCCGTGGCAAGAAGGGGCAATGGCCAGTGGACTTAGGAAGCCTTGAAAGTAGCTCCTGGAGACAGCAGCCTTCGTGAGCCGATGAGCCCGGCAAACGTGTTTCTTTCGACTCATCTGGATTACCAAAGTGTTGTGTCTGCCTTTACGGATGCCACGTCTTTTCTCCTGTTCAGCAGGGTCTTTTCCCTGAATGCTCCGAGCCTGTCCTACCTGGAAGGGACGGTTTCCATGTTGCGGCAGGGAAGTCCGTCTTCTGCGCCTCTGCCGGCCGTTAGGACTCAGGCCTTAGTTTATCTTCCTTGGGAAGAGTCAATTTGGCCGTTTCTGTGGCGGAACCTCCTTTCCCTGAACTGATAAGTGGGGCTGTTCACTGCTTCGATCCTTTGACTTTTTCCTCAAGGGCTCCTGCGAGCAGGTGTTGGCTGGGTTGTTTTGAGGCGGGAAGAGAAACTCCCCGCAAGCGTTGCAGACCTGTGTCCTTTCATCTTCACCTTTCCTTCTTAGAGTATCACCAACATTATCTTATTCCTCCCTCTGACTAAAGACAAAGTCTTAAGTGATGGGAAAAATCGGTTTGGGAGTCTCCCGCTGAGCTCACCTGGGACACTTCTGGCTCACTCCATCTTTGCTCAGGTTGACGGATGGTGCTGATTTCTGACAAACAGAAGAAAAGCTTTCTGAGATATACTATTTTGTACACCTGTGTTGCAACGCTTCAGCTCCAGTAGTCTTTTTTTTCGTGGGGAAGCTCCTCTGGCCCCCTAACCATTTTGATTCCTCCTTTCTGCACCTCTTCCTGATCCACTGTATCCACTTCAAGAGGCTGTGACTGGGAAGCCGATTTCTAGCTTGGCAGTCCCTTGTCCATCTCACTTGCTCTGACTGGCAGCGATCGCTTGCCACAGTTTCTGGCGGGCTTTGCCCAGCTCTTTCTGCAGCAGCTGGGAGTGTAGAACCAAGGCCCCATTGGCACACAAGGAAGGAAATGGTTCCCCGAGTGCCAGTGGAACTCCCCGTCACAAGTTTTTTGCGATGCCCAGCAAGGCTGATCGTCTGGGAAGGGAATGTGGCAAGAGAGAATTAGCCTCCTGTGCCTGCAAGAGGGAGGCCGGGATGCACGGCTGAGCGTTTAGGGCAGAACAGGGTATATGGCTCCTGTGGCAGGAAGTTGCCCAATGCCACGCCTCTCTGGCCGCCTCTTTCCTTCCCTGCCCAGGCTTCCTAGGGAGGGTGGATTCGCCTCTTGTGGGTGGAAGATCCACCCAGCCCTCAGGGAGCTCCCTCCTGGGGGAGGCAGCAAGTCCTGAGCCCTCTGCTCCACGGTCAAGGGGTGCTTCTGCCTTGGGAGGAGCAGGGCTGGGCCTGGCTTCTCCAAGGGCACCGCCAGTGGGGCAACTCTGGGGTGGGCTCTGATCCTCTCTCGCAGAAGGTGGGTTGCTGGTGGGCAAAGCTGGAGGCTGCTGGGCGGCAGGGTTGGCTGCCCCTTCCTTACTCACCCCTGGCCCGCCCAGGGAAGGAGCCGAGGTTTGGGGCTTGCCTTTTGGGGCTCCAGTGGAGGAGGGTCCTGATCCCCCAGGGTCTGTTTTGAGCTGGAACTTAGCTGGAAATGCTGGGGGGATTGATGCACCCTCCAAAGAGGCTTTGCTTGTGGCTAAAGGGATGCGGGGAGGATGTGCACAGTGCTCAAAGCCTATCTGTGCAAGGAAAGGTGGCCTCTGAAGGGGTGTGGGGAGAGAGCAGCCCCCGGGATTCCTTCTGTTCCCCCCCACCTCCCAGGGAGCAGCAGAGCGCCAGCCAGTCATGTGATTGCATGCTGCTTTGCTAAATATCCGGAGAGGAAGCTGTGGGAGTCCGGGTGGGGGCTAATGAGGAAGTCTTTAGGGCGAGACTGTGCAGCCCAGCATCCTGGAATTTGGGGAGTCTGGCTGCCACATTAACCTCCCCTTTCTTCTTTTTCCTGCTTCCCACCCCGTGAAGACTGCAGGAGTCCGGACAGCTCTTCGCTCAGCTCCTCTCCCCCCCTGCGAGGCCCGGGAACCTCCCCCCCGCCTGAGCCTTCCACTCCACTGCACCCTTCCATGATCGGCTCGGCCATGACCACCTCCATCGGTGGGCTGGGGTCTCCCTTCCCAGTCATCAGCTCCTCCATGGGCTCCCCAGGCCTCCCTGCCACCCCCTCCATCGGCTACGGGCCTGTCAGCAGCCCCCAAGTAAGCAGGGGCTGGAGACAGTGGGGGGGGGAGCAGGGACCTTGTCCCCCATAGGCTGAGCTCAGGGGAAGGGTCTCTGGTCAGACAGCTCCTCTGCTGCCCTTCCAGATCAACTCCACGGTGAACCTGTCGGGCCTCCATTCGGTCAGCAGCTCAGACGACGTCAAGCCTCCTGTGGGCATGAGGGTCATGCAGGGCCACCCCCATAGTGGCATGGTGCCCGGGAAGCGGCTGTGTGCCATCTGCGGAGACCGTTCGTCAGGTACGGGGGCTGGAGTTCCTCTCTTGGGGGGGTCTGAAAAGATCTTTCTGGGGTCTTTGGATTGGCAGAAAGCCTGTTGGGTCAGGCTGCGTGGGATTTGCGGGAGGGCAGAGGAAGGTGGGAGGGGCAGCGCCAGGCACGGGGTCACTCCTGCTGTCCCCCCGCAGGGAAACACTATGGAGTGTACAGCTGCGAGGGCTGCAAGGGGTTCTTCAAGCGCACGATCCGGAAAGACCTGACCTACACGTGCCGAGACAACAAGGACTGCACTGTCGACAAGCGCCAGCGGAACCGGTGCCAGTACTGCCGGTACCAGAAGTGCCTGGCCACTGGCATGAAGCGCGAAGGTAGCGGCGGGGGGCCGGGAGCGGAGGCTGGCAGGCGAAGGACCCAGGGGACCTCCCTCGGCAGGGCTGGAGGGCCGTGGGGGTCCAGGCTGGGCAGAAGGGGCTGCTCCGCCGCCTCCTGCTCTGGGCGGGGCCGTCCTGCGACCCCTCCCCAACTTCTCGCTTCGGTTTGGGGGGGGGACGGGTCCGCCTCCTGGTCCCTCCGGCCGCCCGCCCACCCCGCGCGGCCCTC